TCATCTTTCTATAAGACAGCCAATCAGAGACAAACTCACTATAATAGGCAAGCCTCCTGGTGCCAACCAATCAAGCAACAGTCTCACTCACTCTGATAACCATGTTGCTATGGATGATGTGAACCCACTTATGCCTCTGTCCTTCTTCTACTCCTTATGCCATCCTTCTACTCCACTCTGCCCAAAACCCCACACAGATCAGCAGGCCGCTCTGTCAGAAGAGCCAGTGCCTGACCACCATAGCTGTCTCTTACTATAAAAAGCAATAAATTCCAATTCCGTCATTTTTTTTTCAGATATTGAAAGCTCATAATGCTTTGGCAACAATGTTTTAAGTTCATTAATTTACCAACCTTATATTTTATTTTTCTTAATAAAAGTAAATGAAGTTGGCAATTCCTTTGATCATTTAATCACAACTAAAACTATCATCAATACCAGTAAAAGAATAAAGTGAGTAACTCCAATATCAGGCCTTTCACCTGAAATGGAAAAACATTAATATAGAGAATATAGCTTATTAGAAAGAACCACAGGAATCTAAACAATGCATGTAATTGCTAGGTACAGAACGGTCAGAATGGACTAATGTCAAACTATTTTTTAGGTAAGATCAAGTCTAATGTTCAAAGCAACACACCCAGGGGTAAACTCCTTTCACTTGTTTAATAAACACTTACTGAGTAGCTGCTTCTATGTGAGGCCTTTTTCTAGGCACCGAGGACACAGCAGTAACAATGGAAAACCCTACTCCTGAGTGAAGTGAGCACACAATAACAACAAACACCACAGGGAGGTAAGACACACAGTACGTGAGGGGAGAAAAGCAGAAGCAGGGAGAGAACATTTGCATGTGTTGTAGAGGGGTGGGGGGTGGAAATCTCAGAAAGGCCAGAAAAGGTCTTGCTGAGAAAGTGGATTTTAAGTAAAAAACTAAAGGAATGGAAGGAGCAAGCCAGGAGGAGATGTGAGACAAAAGCATTCCAGGTAGAGTGAACTGCCAAGTACTGAGGTACACCTGGGGTGTTTAAAAAGTAGTAACAAATTCAGGGTGACTGGAGCAGAGCGAAAGGGATAGAAAAAGAGAAGCTTCAGCCAGAGAGAGAGGACAGAGGTCAGATCATGTGTTGCCCTGTACATATTAGGAAGACGATGCATGTACCCTGGGTGAAAGGGGAGGCAAGAAGAAGGCTTTGAGCAGAGAAATGACAGCATCTGACTCACAATTTAGTAGGTCTGCTACATAAAGAATTGATGGAAAGAGGATTAAAAAAGACACAGGAGGGCTGGCCCTGTGGCGCACTCGGGAGAGTGCAGCGCTGGGAGCGCAGCGACGCTCCTGCCGCG